TAAACAATTTTATTAAAAACAAAAATGGTATATTTTATAATAACTAATAGTAAAAACAAATGACGTGAATGGTTTGGGTTTAAATCTTATTTGCCTTTAAAATCTTAACACAAATTAATTTATACGACAGTTTGTTGTTTCATTGAATGGAAATTAAAAAATATAAATTGACATTACAAGGTTGGACGATACCATATGTATATAAATTTATTTAATTTTATGTTCATTTCGTTGTGTTCCAAACAGCACATTTGACAGTAAAAACATGATAATAGTTTTATATTCAAAATTAAATACAAGTTGTTAACAACTTTGGATCGACTTGTACAAAATTTAACAATTTGTTTTGATTCACAAAAACAAATTATGTCATTTTTTAAAAATACATATTATTTTTAATTAGTTGTTTGTATAATCCCTTTCCAAACAGATTTAAATGGTCGTTGAAATTTTGTTTAATGTTACACTATGAATTATCAATTATTATTTAAAACAAATTGTCAGTGTTGAATATTATGATCATTTTTTTATTATTTTGAATTCAAAACGTGTAAGATTCAGGTAATTTATTTAAATATGTATTTTGCTTACATGTCAAATAACAATATACTTGCTTTATCAAGTAGTACATCTTTTTGTAGAATATTTAATTGAAATACTTTTAAAATCCTAATTATTATTTGATAAAAAAAACAAGTAATGTCCGTTGATGAAAATACAACACACCAAAAAATTAACTGTTCATATTTATGTTATAAAAATTATTCAAAATATATGGTTGTAATACATTACAATTGAACAGAAATTAACAATTTAAAAACATAAATATTTAATGGTATAACAAATTGTTATTGTCTTTTTGTTTTTTGTGTTTTTTATTTTCTGAATAAATAATCATTTATTACTATAATTTACTTGAGTATTTTTTGTTTGACATAAACGACAAACTATTACCATTAATTTAATTTACTATGTTTTAAAAATATTAAAAACATTGAGATTTGTTATGGCTTTTCAAAACTAAATAAAAATGTTCTTTTTATTCCTCATTATTTAAATGGTTTTCTTTTTACCATCATTTTAGAATGTGTATAGTTTGGACGATTTTGTGGCTAGCCATTTTTTTTCACTACTGGCTGACAAATCCTAATTAATTTATTCAACGAATTAAAAATAATAGTTCCAAACACAAATTCTGGCTGAAAATAATTAAAAATTAAGACGGGCTAGCCACCAGTTGAATCCGGTTTGCAGCCCTGAGTCGGAGACTTTTGAAGGGACTCAAAAAGTCGCCAACTTCTCTATAATATCAAAAGTCGCCGAACAGCCATAAAATAACGATATTAATTTGAAAAACTCTATTTATATGTTATAATTTGGTTTCAATTGATAACAAGTGTTAACATATTAATATAAATTTATTAATGAATAATTATTTCAATAATATTAACTGGTTTTCAAAAACAATAATAAATTTTAGGTCAAATTATTTTTAAAAACAAATAAAAAAAGCATTTGAAAATGTTTTAACCAATGGATAAGTAAATAATAAATAAATTTGTTTCTTTTTTTATTTCAAGTATTTAAAGTTCAAACAATCAATTAATAATAATAGATATGTCCAAACTCGACAGTTACCACATCATGATAGTCACAAAGTATTTCACAACAATAGAGGACTTTGTCAACCTTGAATTTGTATGCAAGAAATACAAAGGCAATATGGAGAAGTTTCATTTCAACCCAATTCCGTTGAATTACAAAACAATCAAATACTTTACAAATATTGAAACACTCCACTTGTGGAATTTGGAAGATAAAAACTTTGGTAATGATTTTTTTGTTAATATAAAACACCCTGAAACTCATAAAGATATCAACACTAACAAAAATATCGAAATAAAAATTGATTTTTATAGAATTGTTGTGTGGTTCAATGTTGATTATACAACAGTTGACATGAACAGAAATAAAAACATCAATTTTAAGAGTGTTACTTACACCAATCAAGATAGAAAGAGATATAGTGATACTTTACCGCCAATTGTGACATCACTTGGTGAATGGTGTCTTTATGGATGTTCAAATTTAAGTGGTGTTACTATACCAACAAGTGTCACATCACTTGGAAAAGAGTGTTTCAATGGATGTTGTAGTTTAAGCAGTATTACAATACCATCAAATGTTGTATCACTTGGTAAATTGTGTTTTTTTTCCTGTCGTAAGTTGAGCAGTGTTATAATACCATCAAGTGTGACATCAATCGGTGATCAGTGTTTTTGTAATTGTAGTGGTCTGAGCAGTCTTATAATACCATCAAGTGTGGAATCGATTGGTGAAAGTTGTTTTAGTGGATGTGATCATCTTACCAATGTTGTAATACCACATTTTATAAACGTTGTTATTGGAAATAGATGCATGTTTGGGTATGAAACATTGAGCAGCGTGGAAATACCAACAAGTGTAATTGTGATCAACAATAAAAAGTTAAACAACGAATATATTTATACTGAATTTGATATACCACCCGGTTTCACATCAATAAATGGTCACTGTTTTTATGGATGTAATACTCTGAACAAAGGGACCATACCATCAGGTGTTAAATCACTTGGTGAAAGATGTTTTTGGGAATGTAAAAATCTAAGCAGTGTAATAATACCACCAAGTGTGACATCGATTGGTATAGCCTGTTTTTTGTGGATGCTGTAATTTGAAAAATGTGGATATACCATCAAGTATAACATCAATACCATATTTTTGTTTTACTAATTGTAGTTATCTGAGTAGAATAATACTACCATCAAGCGTAAAATCAATTGGAGAACATACTTTTAGTGGATGTAGCAGTCTAACTTCAGTAGTTATACCGTCAAGTGTGACATCACTTGGTAGTTGGTGTTTTGCAGGTTGTAAAAATTTGATCAATGTGGATATATCATCAACTGTGACATCATTTGGTAATTTTTGTTTTGAATCTTGTTCCAGTCTCAAAATGAAAAATTTGGATACAGTCTGACAATAATTAATGATATGTGTTTCAACAGACATGTTTTTATTATTATAATCGATTTGAAAATAATCGAGTTTTAAATCGTTTGTTAATAAAATATTATAAAAGTATAGAGGTTTCGTTATAGTTTAATAAATACAGTAATACCTCCCAAGAGTGGTAAAATTGAGTTATTGTGTTCTCTTAAGAGCGGGCATTTTTAGCCAATCAGATTTTTATTACCGCTCTATAGAGAACTCTATTTTTAGTTATAGTCTAAAAATGCCCGCTCTTGAGAGAACCCGCTCTTCAGAAAAAAATATTGTTGGTAAGTATTACATAGTATTGTATTAGACGTATTATTATATATTAGTATATTTTGATCATTTAATAACTTAAAATATAATCTTTATTAAAATAAATTATTGATGTAAATTAATTGTTTCGAGTTTTTGTACAACAATTGTAATCAATTGCCGTTTTATTTGCTCATCATCCCAACACTCTAATATTAAAGTATACTCCTCTTGAGTGATTGACTCTCTTTTTTGAATTCGTTTTCCAGAAATAACAAACTTTGCGATTTTCCAAGGAAATTTGAATTGTTTTTTATTGAATAGTTCTTTCTATCCAAATACTTCATACATGGTGACGCCAAAAAGTAGATATCCGAAGATATTTTGTATTTCTCTTTATTCAATATCTCAGGAGCTATGTACACAGGTTTTTCAATACTTTTGATGAATGATATGTTTGTTATCATCATATTGACATTTCGACTACTTCCAAAATCTGTCAGTTTTGCGTTCACTTTGCTGTATAAATCGAGTGAAAACACGAGAATATTGTCTGGTTTAATGTCTCTGTGTAATATCCCATTACTATGTAAATAATTAATTCCTCTTGCAGCGTCCTACATCATTTTAAGTCGAGTTTGAATGTCAATTTCATTTGATTTTTTGTGTTTCATCAAGTCCTGTAAACTTCCATATTGTGCGAATTCAGTGACCATACACACTTTACTTGGTATAAACACAGCACCATAAAAGTGGACGATATACTCACTTCGGAATTTTACTAACGTTTCAACTTCCTTTTCAAATTCATTATCATTTGATTCTTTTTCAACTAACAACTCTTTCATCTTTTTGATACAAACAACATTTCCTCTGAAGGTGCCTTTATAAACAACTCCAAATGACCCTTTTCCTATCTTTTCATCTTCAATCAACTCGTGGTAATCGAGACGATATGACATTATAGTAGTTGCTTTGATGGGTATTTCAATCACTTCTTCCGTCCCTTTGTTGATATTCAAAGTTGCACAAGCAATTTTGTCTTTAATTTTTGAAGTATAATTTGGCTTTAAAGATTTTTCAAATTCACATGCATGATATGGTTTAATTGTTACAAAAAGTGGATCTGATTTTATTTCATAAACATCATTTCCTTCTATCATTTTTAATTGCACTTTAATATTATGTTTTGATGTGTTCCCAAGACACAACAATTCGCGACTGTATTCATTAACTGGAATCTCTCCATTTTCATATTCACTTCCAAATAACAACTCTGGTTTGTTTGTTGATATTTCCTTTAACAATTTAATGAAAATGATATTCGAATTTTTTATTTTAAAAACACAAACATTTTGCGTTCTTTTTTTGGTTTTGTTGTGATTATACACATATAAGAAAACACAAATTATTATCAACATAATTATCACAACAATTATTGCAATAACTATAATTGGGATACCAATCCGATTAAATTTAATCAAATAGTTTTCGGTACACGACAATCCATCATCTAATGGTTTTCTATTTCCTTCACATGAGACACAAAGAGAATGTCTTGCAGCAGTGCAAAATTCAATTTCCTTGTAATAAAGGCAAATGCCATTTTTTAAAAATATAAATTGTATTATTACACATTTCACATCCTTTCAGTGAAGTGCATGAAAGACAGTTATCTGCACATTTGGAACAACAAGGCGTCGTCAGGTAATACACTTCTCCACAAGTTTAACATCCAGTATTCGTCTTGTTTTTGCTTCCAATTAATTTGTCATAACTTAGACACAACTATTTGTATTGTCTGAAAAGTACTCATTTGAACATTCGTAACATGAAATTGAATCTTTGCATTCGGAACAAGAAGAGCCACATTTATAACACATTTTTTGACCATAGTAATACCTTTCTTTGCAAATCACACACCCAATACCATTGCCCATTGGTTGTTGACAATTTTCAGTCAAATTGGTTACAACGCACTCACCTTTATTATTGAGCAATAATTTCTTTGAGTAATCACATGTCAAACAAAATGTTGAATTAAAACACGTCTCACAATTATTAATGCATTCAACACATTAATTGTTTTTTAAGTAATATCCATCATTGCATGAAAGACACCCCTTTTTCATTGGAATATCGACATTCTGTGTTATCATAATTACTTTTATTGAATAATAATTTATAACTTTTTGCATTTTTATTTGGTGTATAATACTCACTTTAAATGTTTTGATATACTATATTTGAACTAATAATAGTGTTACAATTAATATTTCTTAAAATATGATTTTTGTCATGTTCTAAATTTGTCTTTTTAATTCTATTTATAACTTTTTAAGTGTTTAACCCGCGGATGCACAGTCATGCACTTTTCACTTTTGCCATTTTTTATAATTTTTAATACTGAAAAAATATTTTTTATATTGAACCATAGTTAGACATTTATTCATTATTTTATGGGTATAATTCCCAAAATTGCAGAAATTTCGACATTTTATTAAGTATTTACACAAAAAAAATGATCAGAATCAATTTTGTGAATAAAAAATATTTAAACTGTTTTTTTTTGTTTCAAAAAAATCAAATAGTAATATTTTATTATTAAATATAAGAAATGTTATTTCTATTTTCAAAATTGCCGAGACAAAAATTGACAAGTCAAATATTAAACCAAAATTTCGGGATAAAGAAAAAAAAGATTAAAAAACAAAAAAATTTCCAAAATTCGAAGATTTTAAATTGTCAAACATCTAAATGATAAACGTTTTCTGGTAAACTCTATGTTAAGATGTATTTCTTTCTGAATAAAAAGAATTTGTCTATAAATTGTAGATACTGTTGTATTAGCAAAATCTTTAATGACTTGATAATATTAAAACAAAGATTGTGTCTTTTTACTATGTTAAATTGTTAACTTTTTGGGAATTTGGACAATTGCTTATTATTATTACTAATATTCCCGACTTTATTCATTTAAAACCCCAAAATTTTTATATAACAACAAATAATCCTAAAACTGTAGCACAAATAATAGATATTTAATTTAATAATATATATCTTTATAACTCTTAGTATGAGTATGAATTATGTTTATATTGTTATGCAAATTGTCTAATAATTATATAATTAAAAGTTATACATTAATATATATTAATAAAATGAATCTGTTTTTATATTAAAATATTACAAAAATTAACAATTTAAATTATTAATAATGTTTAATGGTATATTAATTATAAATATAATA